TTTAGCCAGTCTGAAAAAATAAGAATTAGAGACCAAACTAAAAGAAGTAAGGCTTTTTCCAGGATAATAAAATAATAATAATATGAAATAATCAGAAAAATCCCTTTCTCTGTTAAACATCACTTTGGAAATATTTTAAAAATAGTTTAATTTGTATATGATTGCTTAAAATGTTGTCTTCAACTGTACATCATGGCTAGTAATATAGTTATTTATTTTCAATTATATGCATAAAATAATGCATTGTAAAACATTGCAGGTAAAAAGTAGGGATGTTGTGATCAGGTTTTTTTTGTCCTTGAGTCCAAGTCCGTAAATTATTGAATATTACAAATGTTATATACCATGGGATATAATGTTATATACAGGGATATCGATGATTCACGCTAATCATTCATAACAGAGATTCATTCACAAATGAATCGCTCCCTCCGTTGGAATTAGAAGTGAAAGCAGGAGGGGGGATTTGATGCAGGACATGGATTAGATCACATTTAGCAGTATAGGAGATAATGCATTTCCATGCATGCACACAAACACATGCTCTTTGTTGGCAATGCCTGTGCAGTCACATATCCATCGATGTAGAAAAGTGATGTAAAGTTATAATATTCCTAATTAGAAAAAATATATTTGCATACTGACCACCGGGTAAACTCCTGATCATAGATATATGTATAAATGTTTACATATCTATGGCTCCGGATGACCAGTCCTCCACTACAACTTGGTCCCACATTCATTTTTAAAGAAGCGCTGCCCTGTACTAAAATGGCAGCACTTTTGACACATTCCTTCCAATAGACAACAACAGCGTAGGCAACATCTAATGTAAATATCTATGATTCTAAATAAGTACTTTGAACAATATTTTTTCTGAGTGCAGTAAAGTACAGCTTTGCATTTGCAAATAAAAACAAAAGCTACCGCATAACAAATATAACTCATGTATATTTTATTGTGTTGCTTCACAATTTTTGAAAGGCTTTCCCCGACAGTCAGACTAAATTTCCTTTACACTTCTAGCACAAATACTGCTTTCACCATTTCATCAAATCCTTTTCTTGCATGTATTCTCATATGCCTCAGCGATCTTTGCCTCAGTTTACCTCCATTGTTTCACTTACTAAAATAAAGGCGTTGTTTTTTGCTAAACAAGCCAACATTGGTACGGCTGTGACTTCACACAGAGAGAGAGAGAGAGAAAGAGAGAGAGAGAGAGAGGGAGGGGTGCACTAGTGATTCAAGCACTGTTTAGTCCATTAGCATCTGTTATGTTACTGTGCTGTAGGTGCTCAGAGAGGCTTTGCGTAGAAGCGTCCGACTAAAGCAAGTTACGCACACACACACTCAAACACACACGCTGGCGCACAGGGAGAGCAGCTGTGTGTGATTTGGGAGCTGTTCTTCAGCACCACAACACAATTCAACTCGGACACGGAGACAAACGCTTGAGAGAAGAGTCCGTAAGTACGATAATTTACTTTATCAGTAGAGAGAGTGTTAAAAATGCCAGTTTAATGGAAATTTGCATGTAGAGTTGGGTTTTTGAAAAGAGTGTATATCATTATCATAATGTTATAGTCGTATTTTTCCTGAAGATGTCATTTGTTTGAGATTTGACTTGACTGGTATTGCCTTCTTGGTTTGCATTTACTTATATTGTGAAGTAAGTTTTTCTTCTGCTTTCAAAACCTGTCTTTAGCTCTTTTGTTCTTGACACTGTATCTAATGTCAGTGTCACTCATGCTACATTCATCGGTTTAATGTCTTTCTTGTGTCCTCTGAGGTCAAACGTCAGAGGAAAGAGCAGGAGCCACTAAATAGGTTAAACTGCTGAATAATTCATGAACATTTTCACTCTTTCAGTCTAGCGTGAGCTAACTCTACTCACGCAATTTGATGACGAATTCTTCATATCTTTCTTACAACTGATGTCTGTAAGTTTTCTGTTTGGTTTAAAAATTACCAAAATTAATTGTTAGTAAGTGAATAATCAGTCTGTCAATGACATCAGTAAATTTACCTTACATTCAAAAAAATAACAACACAAAAACAACAGCACAATTCTTGAGATTTCATTGAGACGACTACATTTTTTTTTATGTTCAATCCACATAAATTTGTTGAAAGTGTTAAGTTAATTTAATCAATTAGTGTTGGGACAAGATGAATGAATTGTGTGGAACCCTGCATTTTTTTACAGTGTAGCATAATTCACATAGTTTGAGTAGTATATGGTTTATATACAGTAAGTGTTCACTGGAAATCCAGGTTTGCCGCTGGTGGTCTTTGCGTCATTACAGTACGTCACGTCTGTATATAGAATCATACAGAAGGACTCCTAGCTAATATGCTGTATGAGACCTGAGGCAGCTGCAGGTGGTGAATCATTTCCAGCCTCTTCTCAATAATGCTGGAATAATTAACCTTATCATTTGCTTTATATTGTTTGAAATTCAAAATAATGGCAATCAGTGAAATCTACAGGTAATATACTAATAAATACATAGTCATGCTATGTTGGTGTGCTTACTAACATTTAACAAATTGAAAACAAAGTATAACAGTGATAATACATTGATGTGATGTTAGCCACTTGATCATTTTAAACATCCTGGAGACAAGTTAAGCTTGTGCTTTTTATCAGACATTTTTGTAACATTTATGCTCAAATGATTTTCACTGGCAGTGAGCCGAATGAAAATCAAAGCCAGAGCTTAATGATTGCAAAATCACTACCTGATGTTAGATAGTGCTTATTGTAAGACAAAAAGCCATGATAAACAGTTATTTAACTTAAATAACATTACGTTAACAGATGAATAAATGCCATAATAAAAGTATTACTAAGGCCGCATTTACACTGCACTGTCAAGTGACTCCCATGTGGCACAGATCGGATATGGCCCATGTACGTGTAAGCAGGAACAAATCACATGGATTCCCATTTACTCAAATCAGATTCAGGCCTTGCTCAGATGTGGAAATTTATCCGATATGAATCGAATCTGTGTTCTCGTGTCTGCAGTGTAAGCAGGTAGATCGGATTTTCACCTGTCAATGCGAGTCGCGCGTCATTAAAAACCATAGCGAATGACGTCAAGTCTGACACTTTCATTTCAGAACAGACTTCAGCAGAATCCCAAACCTTAAATCTCATACACGAGGACTTAAACAGCTTTTACACTGTCATATAGCACAGGTATTTCAGCATATTAATGAGAGCGAGAGAGCGCAATGTCCATGTGACCAATAAAAACTAATGTAAAACTAGTAAATACATCATGTGCATAAATCATTTTTTCCTGGTCATTTGCCGTGTGCTGTGTAAATGCAGACTATCGGATACGAGTCACTTTTAAAGATGATGTAAGCAGGTCTACAAAAAAAATAAAAATTCGGAAAAAGTCACAAAATTAGAATTGACCATCAAGATCTGCAGTTTAAATGCAGCCAAATAGTTTATTTTAGTAAAAAGATTAACTAGCATTAACTAATGGACCATTATTTTAAATTATTACCAAATTAAGTGAAATGAATCTCACCATCAAGTTGCTATTTGCTCTGCAATTCCTCTATAACAAATCTGTCTTATCAACATTTTCGTAGTTGGTGTCTCATTTATTTTACAAGCTCCTTGTATTCAGACACCAATGAAACAAGCAGCTCCACATTCATTTTTCTTGATGCGTCGTCTTCCTTGTTAGAAATGTGTGCTTGCCTAAACAATATTGTTTGAGCGCCGATATGTCTTATTTACTATAACATCAGTAATGTAAACAAAAGTGCCAATCCCAATGGTCAATCATGCTTTTAATATGGCACATCAAATCAATAAAAATTGCCTGAGGCATTCTTTTAATTATGCTTTTAAGAATGGCATTTTGTGTGTTGGTGGGATTTCGATTAATGGCACAGCTCTATCGCCCACCCAACTCCCCCTCTCTATAACTACTTTCATATCAGAATAAAGGCAAAACCCAATAAAAATCAGTCTGTACAAAAAAAGGAATCAACAACTTTGAGATCACTGCGCACCTTCTCATCCAGTCTTCAGACCAATGAAATGCTTTCTAGTATCTGAAACTCTTCAGCCCCTACAAACAATGACTGAAATCTGTTATTCATTCACAAGCATCAAATCGTTTATATCAAGAGTTCACCTAAATGCTTACATGTGTAAAATAATTTGCGTTAAATTATGTTTACATTAGTCAACAATTATGGAGGAACCACAAAAGGCTGAGATGCTTAAGTGTTGTATGCATCTTCACTCACCTCTCTACGGCAAGCCTTGAGGGGGGAAATGCATTGCACACACATACAAACACAGTCAGCATACTAGCAACTAGGACATTCAAAATGGACTGGCTACACACAATAACACTATATGAAGCATATAAGAACTAAACAAAACAGAGCATGTAAGTATGCTTTCCATTGGGATGAAGGGAACTCTCACGGTTTGATCTGGCCTAGAGACTTACAATATACAGTGAATCAAATGCATGAGTAAATGCAGAACATTTCAAACCCATGTGAAAAGTGGATGGAATTCTGTACCTTTTTTTAAAAGCAGAAATGATTAGACTCTATTATACAGTACTTGTATACTATGGCTATAATGAGTCTCTTAATTCATCAACTCTGATTGTAAGAGCTGTATGATTAACAAAATGCTTAAATAAATTCTTAAATTCTTAAGTTCTTAAATAAATCAGGCTGCATCCGACCACTTTACTGCTTGCACACATGTATATGATGATACATGTGTCTGCTTTTAAATGTGCCTTTATTGACATACCTCAAACAGAGATGATCTGTTGCTGTAAATCATGCCTCTTTCTCAATCCCTCTCTTTATGTTTGAGTTTTCTTCCTTCTCCGTTAGCTTTACCGATCCACCCTGAGGCTTTAGGTGTCTAAGGTTTTTTTCTTGTTGTTTATCTCTGCTCGGCGGGATAGCATGTGTGATGGTGTTGTCTGTGTTTCCGACAGAGTACAGTCGATTTGAAGCCAAAATCCATGATCTACGGGAGCAGATGATGAACAGCAGTATTAGTTCAGGCTCCGGCTCATTGCGGACGAGTCAGAAAAGGACGCTGTATGTCAGGTGAGCTCTTTCTAGTTACAGGACATTTGACTTCCCTGACATGCTTAGATTCGACAAGACAAGATGTGTTGATCTCTAAGGATCTGTGGCATCTGTGGCATTAAAGCAGTTTGCACAGTGCACACAGTACATAGTATAGACACACACACACACACACACACACACACACACACACACACACACAAACTAACACACATATTATTAGTAGTAGAAGTAGTAAATGTTTTAATATGAATGTTTTACAGTGTTCACTGTTTATTAGACTCAAAAAATCCTGTTTAGTGAAACTAAATATGCAGCAAGGTGCTGTAACACAGGCAAAGTTCCATGAAAACATTAACAAAATATTACCACACAACATACAATACATCTCCCTTCCCGCTGGACTCATTTAATGACCTAATGGCTGCCATTATAAAAGAATTTCTAATTCTATTCGTCCTGCAAATAGAAACTCTTAAACAATGACCTTATGGCAGCAGCTGAAACACAGAGTACAATAGATGATCCACTGTGCATAGGATACCCTGAGCTCTCTTTAAAACATAATTACGGTAAATAACCATTGGACCAGTTTGGTTAAAACCGATGATCTTGCCTGCCATCTTTACAAGGCAGGGCTCGAAATTAACTTTTTTACTTGGTAGCACCAGTGCTCCCAACTTCAAATATTTAGGAGTACTAAAAAGAATTTAGGAGCACCAGAAAAAAATTAGGAGCACCCACCAAAAATGAATGAGCACCATTGCAAATTGTATTTAAAGAGATTTATTGTATTTTAAAACATCATCAATTATTACTAACAAAAACCAGAAACAGCTATTTAACTAATGCTGAGATGACATTGATATTTGTGTGCAATAATTCCAGAATGTATGTCTAATAATCATAGAATATTAATGATGATGAAAATGACAATAATACTAACAATGAATTACATTTCTCATTATGATGCTGCCTTGAATGTGCTTGAATGTAAGTTATCTGCTATAAAAGGTCTGTTATTTTCTGAAAAATAAATGTATGGTTAGCATCAAACAAAAATGAAGCATTGCAGTAAGAAATATTTATTTTGCACTATTGTTTTTATATGCATGTCAATTTAATAAATAATAAATTTGCGCCAAAACAAACAAAAGACTATAATAAATCATTCAATCCAAGGCAAAGAGCTTTAAGCAGTCATCAGTAACTAAATAGCAAAATAATATACAACTCAATAAAGAACGGACAAAAGAAAGTCTCACTTCTATCACTCTTTTAAACTTTTGACTTCGGTTTGTGTCATTTTAAATGCTCAGTCTCGTTATGAGCTGGTCTTGATTTGTCTGTGTTTGTGGAAAGCAGGCGAGTCAGCCGGACCAATATATGAGCGGGGCAAAGCAGGATTCTTGCAATGACCAATGGCGCAATACCGCCCTTTGTTATAAGCCGCAGTTTCAGTGTAAACTTAGTAAAGGCAAGCTTCTTTGGCAATGATGTGTACAGTATTAGCTTTGACATTTAACAGACATTTGCGCTAAACACGCAGTGAATGCAATGCATCGTGATTCGGGCACCTTCTCCAAAAACACTCAATTGATCTTAGCTGGCTGATCTGTGTTCACCACATGTCATGATCGCTCTCATCTGCGCCATTATTATTATTATAACTTTAAGTGGGGTTTGCAAACCTGTGTACTTTTCATTCTTCAGCCGTTTGCATTCTAGCGGTCACAAAAGCTCCCTGTCCTCTGACAGCGGATAGCCTTGAGTGATTGACAGCTAATAATAACCAATATAGCGCCAGGGAAGAGCGATTCAGCACGTTTTTAGAAAAAAAAATCCAAACAGGTCGCTCTACAACTGTTATATGCAGTTGCACAAATTATCCAAAATATATTATGAGGTCGCATGGCTTAAGTTTCGGGCGCATATAATTTCGAGCCCTGCAAGGCTACTTAACCTGCTCTTATTTGACAAACTCAAATTAGCGTACCAAGCTACAATGCAGAAAGATAAAATGGATTCAATAAATTGTTTGTAAAACAGTTTCATCATAGAGGTTCAAACTCGAAATGATTTAAGTTTCCTCAGAAAAGTTTCCTAGTCTTTTTATGAAATTTTATAGACAGCCTGGGTGTTAGGTTGAAATGTCAGCATATTGTCAATAATGACCTCTAGATAATTATGTGTATCAACAATTCAGTGTCCATGTTAAGTTTAAGTTTATGGAATTACATTATTTTGATGGTCAATTTTGCACATTTTGTTGACAATAATTTACATTTCAACTACATGTCCCACAGTAGATACATTTTCCTGACTATAAGAAACTCTGCTAGTGTATGTCAACTTAAACTAACCCTAATTCTAACAGTCTGCTAATACCCTGAGAATTAATTTTGACAGCAGTTGCACTTTAAATCAACAAAATATGTTAAAGGGACCATCAAAATAAATCAATACTAAGTCTATTATTGTTTTTCTTAATAGTAACAATAAGTAGTAGTAATAATAATTTAATAAGTAGATAATATATTAAACTTGCTATTAGGGTGGCATAGTATATCGTTTCAGCATCGTTATAGCAATGTACGAATGTGCCATAGTCACATCGCAATGTCTGCAATGTTGTTTTGGGATTATAATTATAATTTAAACCCATTATGTGCATAAGAAATTATCAAATTTGTAGTTTAAAAAAATTATTGTATTCATTTAAAAAAAATGAAGACAGTAGTCAACATTTGAAGAAGATGAAAAAAATTTGCAAAATATAAATAGATGTTGTTTAGGACATCTTTGATTTTGTGGTGGTTTTGAACCACTTTAAATGTTGACAATGCTGTGTTGATTATTGTATTGCTGTACCTCAATACTGTTTAGACTCTTTAGACAGCAATGAAGCACATTGTAGAGTTTGTTTGTTCTAATGTATTGATTTATGTTTGTAATTTCTTTTATTTTAAGCACATACACACCTTATCAATGTAAAGTTGAGAATTCTTCCAAATTAGAGTTAAATCATCCTAGGAAATTATATTCAAATCGCAATACAGTGTTTCCCACAGGTTAGAAATATACTTGCTGTGGTAGCCGGATTGAAAAACACCTTTTACACATGGCACATGGTTACCTACTGTACATGCAACAAAAAATAGATTTTTACCAATATTTTTATTTATTATACACAGTTTTTTATTTTAAACTCTTGAAATAAAAAAGAAATTGGGTAAAATCTGCTGCTGTCATTTTGTACATTATTGCCAAAGTATGTTAGATATGTATAAAATATGTAAAATAGAGTATCAACATTATCAAATATCATCAAAATCATCAAAAAAAAAAAAACACAGCAAATGAGAAATAAATGGCATAAAGGAATCAAAACATCTATTGAATAAAAATCTCAAAAAAATATAATAATTACAAGAATAAAAAGTGTCAGTTATTTAAATAAGGCAAATGAGTTAAATGATTATTTCTAATGGTGTATGAACATTTTGCATCCAGTAAAGATGTAATTTCGTCCTTTCTGAGTAAATAAAGTTTATCTGAGTCGTTTAAATCAAAGAATTAATCATTTAACGTTTCTCTCCGTCTTGCTGCTGTGCACGTGCTGTTAATTGTGCAGCCAAGTGAAAGTAAACCAGGTTTAAAATAAAAATGACGACGTCTTAGAAACCGAAACCCAAAGCCAAATCCCGGACATTTTAGGACATTTAGAAATACTAAATGGACCCATTTCTAAGTCCCGAAAAGGCACGTCTCTGTGGGCCTCTGCATGTGAGACTGTGAGACTGTCTATGGGAGTGTTGGCAGTTCTCACTCACACATAACGAAAAGTAAGAAACGTGTAGGGTGAGAGATTTTCCAGTGGTTAATCTGTCGTGAATGTTTGGCTATTGGGCGGATACAAAAAAAGTGTAAAAGGATGATAATAATAAAAAAATAAATGTCACAAAATATACTTGGGCAGCCGTTAATATACCTGGGCTAATACCTGGGCCTGCCCTAATGAACTTTATGTGTGGGAAGCACGGATCGCAGAAATACAAAATGTCACAATGTCAGTTTTTGTCAATATCATGCAGCCTTAATTCTAATTAATTAAGAACACATGAAATGACGACGGCTTAGAAACCGAAACCCAAAACCAAATCCCGGATATTTTAGGAGATTTAGAAACCCTGAACGGATCCATTTCTAAGTTCAAACAAAAAACATTTTTTAAAAATTATATTAAATAAAATATTTTTTGTAATTATATATAAATGCAATACTTAATGTAAATATTCATTAAATGATAGTGAAATAATAAATTAATATAAATAATAAATACATTAAATACATTCTGAAAAATCCATCTCTAATCTTATAGCTTTCATTAATGTTTGAAAATGCTTTGTTTGTGCGTTCGTATGTTTGTATTGTTTTGTCTTCCGCTGACTGCGTCATCATCGGCCCCTTATGTGAACGTGATTCTCTGAAGTGTGACTGTTTTTTGTGGCTCTGAGAACATTCAGGCCAATGGTTTCACACTAGACTGAATCACATCATTTCAGCCAGTAGCATCAAGGGTTCTACACCGACTGAGAGTTTGCCATATTTTTGCAGCCATTGTTGATCTTTTCACCTTCATACTGTATGTTCACAGGCTCTCATCGCTCCTAGCCTACCCTGGCTAGTGTGAGTTAGATAGACAGTACAAAGATAGATGGTGCTAATTGTTCTGTGAAACGCCTGCTGATGTTTTCCTCATATTTGGCTTTTGTTTGACTATTCTTTAGCTCTCAGTTTTGCTGTTCTTATGTTTTATTAAGAATAGCTCTGACATTTTGAGGATTGGAAAGCCCTTGGGCTCTGATTCTCTACACATGCATGCATATTCACTGGTTCAAAACAATACAGCATTTTTCAGATGGCTCGGTATCGAGCTCAAGCCATATTATGCGCATGTTGTTCATGCAGTTTTATATATGGATTAGGAAAATGTTACAGTGCAATTGGGATAATAATGTAAGATAAAATCACTCAGTTTTATGATTATAACGGTCTGTAATCATACAAAATTTATTCATGAACACACCAGTTGCTATGAGCTGATAATGAAGAAATATAGCTTGAAAACGCTAGAAATTATCCTCGTGGTATTCAAATGAAAATGTAATGTAGATATGCTTTAAATCAAGCTTTAAATTGTCTTTGTTACCCATATTAATAAAATAAAGACAAATCCAGCCATTATGTAGTTTTTTTAAAACATTTAATCCAGTGATCAGGTTTAAAATAATCCAGGGTTTTTAAGAGATCAAACAATTTTAATTGCAGACAATCTATTCATATTCTGCAATTACGTTCAACTAATTCTCTTTAGAGTATTAGTAAAGTGAGTTACAGCTGATAACATTAAAAACAAGACTATAGTTGTTAATCATCTGCTTATTCATTCTGTAAAAGTTTGATACGTTGTAAATAATGTTAATAAACCTGTAATGTTTTGTTAATCTTCCATTATATTTAATGCATAACTACCACAATATTGATCTATATTAAGCTTTTACAATTTATTCTGTTTATCATTAACTACCAGTGTGTAAATGCTTAGAGGCCTACAAATGAAAATGACCTAATCTTACTCTCCCTCATGTAGTTTTGCATCTTTGAGTTTCCTTCTTCTGTTGAGCACACACAAAAAAGGATTTTTTTTTTTTTAGAATGCTGGTTACTGGGATGCACCAACTTTCTCAGAAGGGGGAAAAAACCATGAAAGCATTTGACAACATTTTTCAAAGTATCTTCTTTTGTGTTCAACAGAAGAAGAAAAATACAGTAAATTGTGACAGAATTAAAATTTTTATGCACTATTTATCCTCACATAATTATAGACATTTAAAGGGATGGTTCACCCACAAATAAAAAAATAATCACTAACGAATGTTAGAATCTGGCTGACATTTATAGATGGATAACAATACTATGGGAGTAAGTGCTTAACAGTTTTCAACATTCTTCAAAATATCTCTTTTGGAATTTAACAGAGAAAAAAATACTCAAACAAGTTTGGATCAATTGGGGGATTAAGCAGGCTATTAAAAAAAACAAAAATTCAAACTAAATTGGTCTAGGATAGACAGCAGTGTAGTCAGTGATTAATGGAAGCAGATGATGATAGAAATTAAGAAAATGTAATGGCTTTATAAAGTTTTCTTTTTTCCCTGAATGAATTTTGAAAATAATTTTGATGATCATAAGCAAAATATGTCAAAAGATTGCACACATTTAGATTTGATCCAAATGAGAGAGTAATACAAGCATTCGTTTGCATTCAAATTTATTTACATTTCCAACATTAAAATAAGTTCAGTTTGTGGTAAACTTGGTGTTTATAATAACTATCATTTATAGCATATTTCATCAAAATTTTGCGGTTGTTTTTAATATTATGTACATTATATATAGGCTTTTTTATATTTCAATTCCATCTTTTTATTCTAAACGTATAATTTTAAAGAATTTATTGTAAAGTTAAAAAACCTGTATGTCAAGTTTGTAAATGTTTCATCTTATTTAGGGAAACTGGTCATCTTTTTGTTTTATTTATTAATGAAATGATAAAATCTTCAACTTGTGTTTTTTTTTTCTTTCTAATGTTTGTTTGTTTTCCTCATTCAAGCCAGCATATTTGGCGTGATACTATTTAGAGTGTGTTAACACTTAAACATGTAGTTCAGTTTGGATCAAGAAAGACATTTTTTTTTTTTTTTGTTCTGATTCGTTTAGCATTTCCATTAAAAGCCATTTTATTTTATAGTCATATTGTTTAACAGAAACTGAAAGAAAAAACTGCATTTATGACTTTTCATATATCGGATCCTACCAAACATACAAAACAATGCTGACCACACTATTTGTCAGGTGAGACTTTTTGTCCTCGTACAATATTGTCCATTTGCAATTGCCCAAGAGCTTTCTGTAAGCTTTTATCCTGTCTCTAATTCGACATAGTGAATCTGCTTGTTTGCTCAAGTTTGGTTTTTTACAAGCTTTTATTTTTATAAAATGAAATTTTAAGGGTTGTTTTTAAAAGATTTATTCCACCACAAGTTGTTTTAGTTGTCAAAACAACTTGCTTTGATGGCTGCAGGTGAACTGCGATCATTTTAGGCTTACAATTTATTCTGTGGAGCGTTTCTGCTGCTCACAGTATTTTTTTGGCATAAAGTCAGGACATGCAGAGCCACTTACAGTACATGCAGGACTTGCCTCTTTTCTTTTTCTTGATCTTACAAAGGATTCTTGCTAATAATGAGCTGAAACAGCACCATTCATGTAGATTTTTTTGGGAAAACTTAATTGGTTTATATTCAATCTACTTGCATTAGTTAAATTAACTTCATGAATTTGTATTGGGACAACTTGCATGAATTCTGTGGAACTCTGCTTTTTTTTTTTACAGTGTAGAAACTAGGCATATACTGTAGAAGATCTTTTTTTTTGTGCTACATGGTACTACAGAGCATTTAGTTAATATTGTGGAAAAGATGAATTGCCCAACTGGCTGTTTTAGTATAAATTTGACTGTTCTGATATTTAATCAAAGCATTTACAATATATACTTAAGGACACAAGGATACAAAAGTAGCTTATTACACTTTAAGCAACTATATGCAACCATATAGAAATAATCTACTCAAAACCTAAAATGAGAGTTCTTTATGTGCTTTAACGAAGGCTTTGGGGTCTGTATGTTTCCTTAAAGTCCCAAAAGCTTAACAGCTGGCCTGGCTTCTTCCTGGAAGAGCTTCATTATTGATGAGGAAACAGGGATAAGCTAGTCAAGAGCTGGGACGGCTAGTTACTTCAGCTCCAGTTCTTCTAAACGCACATGCACACATGCACAAAACAGCAGTGGCCTACTTAACGTCTTCGGAAATCTGTGGGCCAATGAGTTCAGGAGAGTGCATTTAATAAACTGCTATTGCAGAATGTTTTCAGTAATTCAGTTATTAAAACTATTATGATTAGAAATGTGCTGAAAAAAAACCTTCTATCCGTTAAACAGCAAATGGGGCTATATATATAAATGGGGCTATTATATATTAATGTACATTTTTCTTCCTTCAGAGCCCTGTTTGATTATGACATAACAAAAGACTCCGGCCTGCCCAGTCAGGGGCTGAACTTCCGCTTTGGCGATATCCTGCACGTCCTCAATGCCTCAGACGAGGAGTGGTGGCAAGCACGACATGTGACCACAGATGGCGAGATGGAGGAGATGGGCGTCATTCCCAGCAAGAAGAGGTATGTTGTCCCCCATGGATTCCAGAGCACAGGACGCTGACAAATGAAAGCTTGGTTAACCTTCCTTACCATTAATCATGCAATTTGTACATTTAATGGCACATTACCCACAGCTCTTAATCTTTTTTTTTTTTTAATGTTTCTTATATAGGTTCTTCTGTTTCAATTCACTGCTGTTGTTCATTTAGATTTAATTGTCACCCACTGTGCATGGTACTGTCATTGTTATTAATGAACAATGAGCACACAAATATATCTGTAGTGTTCATTATATACAGTGCCCAGCATTTATAAGTACACCTCTCACAAATCTATCTTTTAATTTATTTATTAGGAAGCTATACAATGTTGTATTTGTGCATTAGTTTAGTCAGTACTGAAGCCAAATCTGGAGCTAATCTAACAAAATAACGTATATAACGACCCAAAAACTTTATAGAAAAATAATAAATACAAATTTTAAAAAGAGGAAAAATCAAGAGAAGCAAAAAAAAAAATCTAAAAATTTAGTTGAAATTTTGTAGGTTGTATTTCTTTTTTTTTTTATTGCAATACTTTACTTGAATTTAGTTGTATTATCTTTCCATTTACAAATATGTTTGGTGATTAAAATATTATTTTAATAAATATTACCGTTTAATAAATCTTTTTTGTTTAAATGCACCAAAATACATTGCCTATATTCACTAAGAAATGGATACAAATATTCATTTTCAAAATGGGATGTACTCAATTATGCAGAGCACTGTGTAAGTATATATATATATATATATATATATATATATATATATATATATATATATATATATATATATATATATATACTGTAGTATACTCGTTTAAATGCTTAGGCTGGTGTAAAATACTTTTTATTTTTAACTAGCAGTTTTTATAATAGTTTAATCCTAACATCCTGTTAAACTGTCTATGCCCCCACCCCATTCTTTTGCTCTCGTCACAGACCTGGGGACCATTTTCACGTCAACATTTTTAGCCAAAAATAGAATCTTTTTATGCATTTTGAATGACTGTTTGCTTGATAACAGCATTTCTGAAAACAGAGAACTTTAAAGGAGATCCTTGCTATGAAATTTGATTTAGGACTGACAATGTCTGTTTTATTTTAATACAAGTCATGGGTTTATGGCCACCTGACATTACAAAGTCTAATTAAAGCCCTAAACTTCAGCTCTGATGTGTGATGCTGTGAGCGTTCCTCTCTCATTCTCTCCACACAACTGTTTGCTGATAATTGACTTCTCACCTCATGTTAAAAATGAACCTCTCTCTCATCTCCCCACTGATCACACGCCACTGTCAGCAATGATTCGTATTTTTAGAAACAAGTTGGAATTTCTAGTTTTGCTAAACTGTTTTCATGCTTTTGAGCACTGCATGCCTAATGACTTATAATTATGTACTTATGTAATTCTGCAAATATATCTTGCAGCATTCAACACACTCTGTACATTTACTTAATGAACTCGGTACAGTTGTTGGAAATCAACATTGAAAAAAACTTGACCTAGCTCTGTTTTTCCTCTTCAGGGTGGAAAGAAAAGAAAGAGCCCGGTTAAAGACGGTCAAATTCAACTCTAAATCTCGAGACAAAGCGGTAAGAGAGTTTGCTGCTTAAATATTTATCATGTCTGGCATGACAAAAACATGCTTTTAAGTATGTTATACACTAATACATTATAAATGTCCCTTTTGTGTAAAAAAAATGTCAATTGGTTTATTTGAAGTCATGTCGACATATCAAGAATCTGAAAACAGTGATAAGCATGTCTATTTTAAAACACTGGTATTTTGATAGTATTTTTAGATGAAAAGTGCTAACAAGATATTCAGCATTAGAAACATTTTGTTGCACCTTTGTCTTGCGTGACATTTCAAAAGCCAAATCTGTTCTCACATAGGACAACTAACAGCTGGCGGGTGCAAAATCTAACAGTAGTGAATGATGCATATAAGTTATGAATCATTCTTCTTGTTTGAAAGTTTCTATTTGGGAACTGAATTCACCTCTCTTTTACTGGATGTAGTGTACTAATCCTGTATGTTTGTTCACATGTTTGTCTTAACCGCATGTGACTATTAGGGCTGGACGATATGGCAGAAATTATGTATCATACTTTTTTTTTCAGCATGCATGCATTATTTGGTCACAATTAGTAACGATGGTAAAAAAAAAGATTCACATTTAAACAAAGTAGTTCTTTTGAACTTTCAGTTTTCAATTTCCACAGAAATATGAATTAAAAAATATAAAGGACCAAATCTACATCGTTTCTGAAGGATCATGTGGCACTGAAGACTAAATTAATGAGTGATTAAAAAAGTGTAATTTGTCATCACAGGAAATACAAGTTTATAAATGTATAATATATTAAAATGTTTAATATATTAGGTTAAGAAATAAAAAAATAAGATAAGAACTTTTAACCAAAAGTGTTTAACCAAAATATAATTTGTTTTTTCATATTATAATAATATTTGTCAATATTTCTATATGTACTCTGTTTGAATTAAATACAGTAGGTATTGCATGAGCATATAAGATAAAAATAAACATAATAAATATTGTGTTAAAAATGAAGTTTATATATTATTCCAAGTAAATATATTAACTTATGTATGTTCCCTTTATATTCACTAATATAACCATCATTATTACCAATATAAAGCATTCCTAAGCATTGTATACTACAAAATGTAATTGTAAATGTTACACTTTTATATACAGCATGGCACGTGTTACTTCTTAATATTACTTCTTAATACTCATACTTCTTATCCAAAGTATACTATTTATTGGTCACGCTTTGTTTTGATGGTTTTAATGTTGAATTTAAGTTACGTTGCATCTACATGCCAACTAATTCTCATTAGATTATAAGTAGACTGTTGGGTTGAGGATTAAGGTTAGTGTAAGTTGACATGTGCTTGCAAAGTTTCTTATAGTCAGTTAAATGTTTCTTGAAGGAGCAGTAGCAACAGATATTAAGAAGACAGTCTACTAATACTCTAATGGACCATCAAAATAAAGTGTTACCTATTTAATTTATTGTTTATTGTAGATTTTATTATGCATACTTTCCCTCTTTTCTAATAGACTTCAATTGAACATACATACAATATATTCTGTTTATACCAAAATAGGGTTACCAACTATTTTAACTGTCATCATTAAGAAATGTGGAACTAGTCTAACCCAATCCACATTCTTACAAAAAGAAAGAATGCCAGAATTCTCAATGTTCATTCTCTATATATCATACAATATATCGCCCAGCTCTAATGATTGTAACTCTTTAGTCTTTGCAGCAGTATTACTGCAGGTTTAGCAAACTCCTGCACCGGATCAGCTCATTATCAACTCTTTACTCTCTTCGCATTTTCAACTGCATTCACTAATGCAGCATGAGTGCATGAACATTTCAGAAAACACAAAAGATAAACTGTATTGTACTGTATACGCTTGCCATTGACGTCAAACTGCTCTCCACTTCTCTTCCTGCACATTACTCATCTCTCCGTTTACTGTCTTATTTATTGTAGCTTTTTACTAACCTTTCAATCAATTGTAATCACTCATTTAAATCAACTAGGGTTAATTAATTTCAAGGGTTGGTGCATGTTAGTGCATGTTTTTGATTTGTGTTATCTAACCAAGGCCATAACCATATCTTGAACATTGGAAGGGGACCAAAATGTGAGCGCAAATTATGTCAAATAAATGATTTGAGGTCTTCATTTAAAAAAAAAACTGATAAAAAGTTCAGTTTGCCTCACGGCATATTCATTTAGGATTTAGTTTATTCTCAAAGTTTTGCAAACATAGATTTTTATTAGCTATTTGCATTTTAGCTCACTTTTTTACTGTACCAAAAAAAAAAAAAAACTTTGGTATCTGTAAACAGTACATCTCTGCCACCTTTGATTTGATTGATCATCTCAGGCCATGTTTCTAAGTGCTATTGAAGTGTATTCAGTCTGATCACAAGTAAACATTGCTAAATACAAGCCTAAAAACTGACAAAAGTGTTCACTTTCAAACACTTCCACAGGTGGTACGGTCAACATGCACTTGATAGGGTGCTTTCATAGAGTAGATGCTCTTATGTTCAGGTGCGTTAGAAAAGCCCCAGTAAATGTACTCTCACCCTATTGACCTGTTTGTTATGGAATGTGATATACCACTGCACTGCATCAAAACTACAGTTGGGTATTTTTTTAGGTATTTTAAATAATGTTAGGTGCAAATCAATACTTTTAAAATGGTATTAAATAAATAAAAATGACCCAAGAATGGCACACATTTATTTTTGTCTCTATTGACAGCAGTACCAATACAGTACCACTTTTGTAACTGATACCTAGCACAACAGTATGATACCAAAAAGGTGAAGTTAGACTTACGTGCGAAGTTACAAAAATGCCATGCACACTCCCAGTGAAAATGAAGTTGTGCACACTCTTTCGCCAACACTGCAATGGCGTCATATTTGTCAGGTACACTGAAGCGATCCTGTGGACGCATCGAGTATAAACAAAGTCCTTTTAAGGCTAGTCATCTCACTCGGCGTCTATCTTTGAAACACCTCTCAGGCAGTATACTCAGGCATTCTGTTTGAATGGGGAAACATCAAATTCTCCAAAACTACTTGCCAAGCTTACGATTAAATTTTATATTAGGAATCACCAATGAAATTAAATAACAGCAACTGTCCCTTTAGTTTCATTTCTAAACGTTCAAATCACACAAAATCTGCAGAAACTCACGTCAGAGCCCCTCCCCCGGAGTATCGTCAGTCTATAGCGATTGGGGATTGGCTCCTGTACTAGAAGGCGGGCTTTATTCGCCATATAGTGAGTGATGATTGGCTCCTGTACTAGTATTTAATTCAATTCAATTTAGCTTTATTTGTATAGCTCTTTTACAATGTAGATTGTGTCAAAGGAGCTTCACATAAATGGTCATAGTAACTGGATAACTGTAGGCGGGGCTTCATTCGCCATATTGACCGTAACACTTTCCCCCATTCAAAAATATTTGAGTGACATGTCTTGTGTCATCTATAGTCCTGGGTATAAATCAGCTTTTATTCTCTATTTGCATTTGCTTGCTACACATTTATGTCAACAACCCTTAGAACTTTCCTATTCAAACTAGAAAGATGCCAATTGCAACTTTATGCCACACACCACGCCTACCAAGTAAGAGTGCTTTTGGTAATGGAAAGGCAAGCCTGAACAGGATGACCCGTACCAAATTGTACTGTGCTGTACTAAAATTAACCATACTGCTCAGTGGAAATGCGCCATAATTAGTACTTACAGTATTCATCACACTGAGCAATCCCACTGAAGTACCAACGAATATGACAAAATAAAAGGGAAAGGTCTAAACAAAATTCAAGCACAAATTGTCACAACAGCATTCAATTATGGCAATACCAGAAAAATACTGAGCAACTGATGTTATGTCACTGATGCTAACTAAAGGAGACAAGCCTAAACATTAAACTTCTAACACTCCTCAATGTCTGTGATGGTTATGACCCTGCTATGAACTCACTTTACTAACAGTATTGTACCTTGGTTGTGGTTATTACTACCCTTTAATTGTATCTGATGTTCAGTAATCCCTCATAAACTCTACTGTGTCTGTTGCCATCACCAAACCAATCTAAAAGCTCCAGCAGCAGTGATTTAAGCTTTTCACTCATCATAGCACACGTGCTGCTGATGATGTGACAAAAAAAAATGATTTGATTTGATTTTTGTCATTCCAGCCTTATATTATTGGATGGCGATGGCTACAGAGTCAGTAACATGGGCATCTGTTAAGTTGGGCATTTGATCATACTTCAACTAGACACCCAACACCATTCCATCTGTTCTTCCTTTTTTGTTTTCCCTCCCTCCCTCCATCCCTCCCTTTCCTTCCCAGCAGTCACTCAATGACAAGCGTAGAAAGACCCTGTTTTCGCGAAAATTCCTTTTCTCCAAGAACAAGGACACCGGTGAGCAGGAGACGAGCGATGTGGACCGTAAGTACACGACCTGCGGACACAAAAAAAGCACTGGACGAGTGCAGGACAGGGTAGCGCCACATGCGGCTAAGCCAAAACTGATGAACAAAACTCCTGCTTATGCAACTACACTGAAAATTAGTACAAATTCAGTCCATTCCTTTAGCTTCAATGCGAGAACAGAATGTCCACTGAAAGTCTGTTGCAAAGTGGGAGTGATGTTCATCGGTAAGAACACATATGTTGTTCTAGTAATCACTGTTATTTTTGTGGTTTTCTCCCATTTCTTGCTCTCTGCTGACTGCTCCACAGGACCTGAGTGACGACAAAGGCTTGAGTAAGTCCACAAAGGCTCCAGCAGATCTTCCCCACCGGCCCCATCAAACTCCCATCATTCCCATTTAAAATTGCACGTTTAGCACAGATATTCTGTTAGAAATGTGTTGCTTCTGCAACCTTTTTGTGTCAAGTCGACTATAAAACAATTTGCTGATTGGCACTATAATTAGGCCGTTCATTGCCCATTATGGCCAAAACATGGTTCAGATGAGTTGAATCAGTCACTCTTAAAGACACAGTACACCCCAAAATAAAATCTGTCATCATTTTCACTTGTTGAAAACCTATTTGAGTTTCTTTCCTCTGTTGAACACAAATGAAGATATTTTGAAGAATGCTGTATGATGGTACCCATTGAATTCCATAGTATTTTTTATCCTACTACATACAGTAAGCCAGTGGTTATCATCAATCATCATTTTTTTAAAATATCATCATTAGTGATTATAAGAAAAAAAAAACTCAAAAGGTTTAAAAACCACATGAGGAAGAGTAAATGATGAGGAATTTTTCATTTTTTGGTGAACTATCCCTTTAAGATTTGCATTAAAATGTGTTTAGTAATTAGCACCGAACAATATGTGTGTTTAAAGTAAGGTTTCAAAAATGGGCATTTGTTTGTTTAGTAATAATTCAATTAAAATAAAGCTGCATAACTGATTAAAATGTAAAGATGATTATAAATCATATCTGGATCGATTTTGACCCTTGGACTCGGATGTCATTCAAAATAGGTCTAATTTTTGTTTTGAAGATGAAGGAAGGTCATAAGTCTGTGATTAATAACATAATTTACATTTTTGGGTAAACTAAATCAGTGTTTTTCAACCCCTTTTCTGGAAAACCCCCAACACTGCATGTTTTGGATGTCTTTTTTGTCTGTCAAACCCATTACAGGTCTTTCAGTCTCTGCTAATAATGAGCTGATGATCTGAATCAGGTGTGTTTGGTTAAGGAGACATGAGCTGCGTCCCAAATGGCACACTATACACTATGCACTCATGCACTATGTACTTATGCACTTACACACTCAACAGGATAGTACTGTATATGCATGTAGTGTCGTCCCAAATGGCACACTAATGTTTTTTTACTAAGCGGAAATTCAAACCGTTTCCCTGATGATGTTTGACGGTTGCCAAATCAGTGAAATAAACAACCAAATTATCAAATAATACCTGCCGTGAGTATAACCGCATTCACCATCGGTAGGCGCTATAATCACTCTCGTAAGAGAATTTTGCTTTCACCATCCAAAATAAATAAAGTTATTCAACATGTGCGTCCGATAGCTCCACCCCTTTCCGCTACGTAAGCAAACCTGCGGTCGTTGAGTGCGTGAAGTGTCCATCATTACACACTTCATTTTAGCGGCTGAATGAGTCCATCATCCGGGTTATTAAAGTGCACTTATTATTTTTAGAGTTTTCAGTGTGAACACACAACTTGCACTATTTATACTACAAAATGGTGTAGAATAGTGCATAAGTATGCGATTTGGGACGCAGCTATGGAAAGTGTGCAGAGCTGATGGTCCTCTAGGATCGTGGTTGAGGAACACTGAACTAAATAGTTTACATACTGTATAATAATGCTAACCTGATAGGACATGTTCCTTAATTATGAACTATGTTGATCCTGGAACAACATTCCAATTAGCCAATCAGAATTATGGGATACGTTTACCATTTATGTTAAGCTTAGGCCTACGGTTAGGTTTATGCACTTCTACATGATTGCTTTTATTAAATTTACAGTTATGGTTGGGTTTGTGGGTAGGGAATAGGTATGGATTTCATTTTCAAACAAAAATTATGTTCCAGGATCAACAAAGATGTTATTTCAGGATCGCATCATACTTGGCAAAATCCAGACGAGCATAGTGATATACCACAGAAGAAAATTGCAAATTAAAAAAAAATTGTAATTACAATGTATGGCAACACAATCCCATTAGACACACAATGTAATGAAATTTTTGTCCAAACTGTGCAGCCCAGTTCAAGCAGTTCAAGATCAAGCAGTCACAGAGATATAAATTATATTCCTCTAAAATAAAAACTTGAAGACAACACTTGGTAAAATTAAGCGTTTAATGTCTGATGATGGAAAAGTTAAGTACTTCAAGTAAATAATTTTCATCTAATGATTTTGGTTGATGAAAGAAGTAAAAGCTATCAAAAGCCATAGTTTAATACTTTGAGCAAACCCTTAACACAAAGTGCACTGCAAAAAGATTGTATTATTAATTATATTATTTCTTTTATTACTTTATTTACATATTTCTAGTCCAAACATCTAAAAAGTCTTAAATCAAGAAGTATTTTCTAGACAAGCAAAATCTGTTGTCTTGTTTCAGAAACAATATGATAAAAAAGTGTGTTTTCCTTTAAAACAAACTAAATAATCTGATAATGGGGTAGTCGAAATAATCTTATGTCAAAGCAAAACAAGATTATTCTGCTTACCCTGTTGTCTGATTATTTTGTTTTAAGGAAAAAAACTTATTTTGGCGTATTATTTCTGAAAACAAAACAGTTTTTTGCTTGTCTAGAAAATGCTTCTTGGTTTAATAATTTTTACATATTTAGTCCAAAAACAAGACAAAAATTGTAAATGAAACAAAGAGCATTTTTTGCAGTGCATTTCCCCACCCTCCTTATTACCTTTACTAAGCAATCAGTATTTTTATTCAGTGTATAGTTTTTGCCTGATGGATGATGAAATGTAGACTTGTCAAATTTAAGCAACCAGTAAGCGACTATCTAGAATCTGCATACTAGCAATGCCTGGAAAACCACCATATCAGCACTGACACATGTACTACCATATCAGCATTGACACATGTACTACGCTCTCAGAAGAATGCTGTCACTCAGGCAGCTCTCTTACCAGTGATAATATAATGTATCTTTATTTGTCACTAAAGAATGCATATTGACACATTAAGGTTTACCTATTGAAATGATGCTACCTCAGTGACAGATTTAGTACTTTCTTCTGATGGTGTAAGGGATTCCGCTTTGGTTGATGATTTGCAAACAAATCGTTTTGGAGACAAATAATTCAAATGCAAATAATTTTGTGGTGAGAAGTCATTTGAAGGCATAGTTCAACCAAATAAATGAAAATTCTGCCATGATGTACTTACTCTTGACTTGTTACAAATCAGTTTGAGTTTTTGTTTTGCTTTGTTAAGCAGAAAAGAAGATAAATGAAAACCTATAACCATTGACTCCCATTTGTTTTTCCTAATATGGAAGTCAATTGTTGCAGGTTTCCTTCATTCTTTGAAATATCTTCTTTTATGTTCAACAAAAATTCAATAAAAAAACCCTCAAAACTAGTTTGGAACAAGTCAAGGGTGAGTGACAGAAATGACAGAATTATCATTTTTAGGTAAACTATCCCTTTAACCCTCATGCTCTTATTTATCGTCTCATCTAAATGACAATTTTAATGTTTTTTTTTTTTTTTTTTTGTATATTATTAGCCTAAATATTGCAGTTCTAAATGTTTGGTATTTTTTTTAGGAAATATATTGTTCTATAACCATCTAACCAAAAATAAAGTAAAAACAGTAGCATTATGAACTATTTTTAGTTTTCTGTACATTATAAATTTATGTCTCATAATAATAATGCTAACAATTAAACTATATAATCAAATAACTCCAAACTTTTGAATTACAGAGTGAAAACAGCCTATCACAGTAGAACATGAGGGTTAAGATGCGCATGATTGATTGGTTGATTGTGAGAAGATTATTTACCATGACTCTGAATGTCTTTTCTGTGATTTCTACATTGATCCACTGTTTGGTGGTGGAGTGAAGCCCTTCTGTCCATCAGTGTTCAGAGCACCATGACCGTGTTAAGACCGTGTTCATTCAGAGGCTGTCAGATCTTTTGAAATGTTGTGGCCTGAAAGCAATTTAATAACAAATTGACAATGCTGAAGCATCCGAGTCGGTTCTTAACACTGCCATCTGCTGGTGACTGCTCTCCTCTGTTCAATTCCTCAAAAGCTTTAGTTTTTTATGCCTGTGGTGTTTATTTTCCCCTTTTATGGTTTCAGAGCATGTAACGTCTAATGCCAGCGATAGTGAAAGTAGTTTCCGTAAGTGTGTGTTTCCCTTTATTTCCTTTGATGTTTTTAATTGAATTAATATCTTTAATTTGTTTGTGTTTAATAGATTTCTTTCCCACTGTGTTTCTTTTGTTATATAGTTATATGCACGCACACACACAAACACACATGCAGGATTAAAAGATTTATTAATAAAAACCTATATCAGAGATGTGGTTTGGGACTTCAGTTGAATTTAAAAAATAATGATTTTATTTTAATCTTAAAACTGGAGGATGTTAAAATGCAATAGCCAAAGTAATAATTATATATATATATATATATATATATATATATATATATATATATATATATATATATATATAATTTACCAAACAGAGGCTTATTTTTAGTGGGCCTTGCTTGTTGGTTTTGTGTGCTAAAGCAGGTGATTGTTATATTTGCACTTTGCTACAGCCTTCAAATAGCATGTCACAGTCACTTGAGCATGTGTTGAGTCTGGGTTTTGTCAGCGGTTTTGTAAAACATGGGCTGCCGTTCACATCGAGTGGTCTGAAAAACCTCTTGAACTTTTATGTAGTGCTACATGCCGCTCAAATACATCTCATCTGAACAGTGAGTGAAAAAGAGATACAGCAAAAGCATGCATGCTGCTTTAGGGTGACTGAAAAATATATTAGAAATTATTAATCATGAACACAGAGGAAAAAGCAATCATTTGAACACTGGACTTTATAATTCAATAACCTCTGTGCAATTTTTTTATGTAGTCATTGATCTACTAGTAGATCATTAGTTTAATATTTATTATTTAAATGGACATGTTCCAGTTAACTGTTCAATAGTCTGAGGTCTGTCAGATTAATCTTTTTGTTTTTCAAAATTTTTCAAAATACGCCATCATAAAAACGAAATTCTAAAAGATGCTTCTCAAAACCTCCAGTCCTCTGTAACAATTATATTGTAGTCATTATTTTAGTTTTAAAATTAAACATGACACGTGATTAAATGTACATAACCCTTGAAACCTGATACACTAAGACAGGGTATTATTCTAAGCTAACCTTAAATGCATGTTGATTAAGTGAAACTCTCTTACGGTTTAATTCCACAGTACTCATGTCAGTGTCTCTCTTTTCTAGGTGGACAGGAAGATTATGTTCTTTCCTATGAGACGGTCACACAACAGGAAGGTGAGAGTCCTGCGGAATATTTCAAGTTTTCTTTTTTATAATACACTAGATTTCATCACTTTGCCATTGTGTAACTATCACTGTGGTTTTTACAGTGAGTTACAGTCGTCCAGTCATCATCCTTGGACCCATGAAAGACAGAATCAACGATGATCTCATCTCCGAGTTTCCAGACAAATTTGGATCATGTGTTCCCCGTGAGTTTATAATCATCGTTCTGTTTATTCCTCAAATATTATAGGTAACACTTCATAAGAACAGCACACTATGAATCATTTATTAAGCATTAACAAATAGATCATCAGTTGTATAGCATTAACTACAAGATATTAAGCAGTTTGCAAGTGCAGCCAAAAATGCTGTGTTCTTGACTTATAAGCGCATACATGTATAATAGGGGTGTAACAGATCACAAATCTTACAGTTCGGATCACATTATTGTTTTTTAGTCACGGATTGGACCATTTATTTAGGTTAGCCAAATGTAGTTTGTTTTTCAATTATTATAAAAACAGTACTGCAAGTAACATTTGGTTTTGACAAACAGAACTTATTCAGAAATTATTCAGTTATTCACTCATGAAGGTTCAAGTTTCATTGCTAGATGGATCATTTTTGAAGAATTATTCTGTGGCTTATTTTTGATGGCTGGTTGTCACCACCTATTGGTTAAATAATGTAATTGCTGCCTACAACTTTTATGTTTGAGCGTCAAGTTAAATGCATATGATAATGATTTTTATCTTTACCATAAACATCAGTGGTTTTATCTATACCAGTGGTTCTCAAACTGTGGTACGTGTATCACTAGTGGTACGCGGGCTTCCTTCTTGTGGTACGCGAAAAAATACACTTTTACCCTTAACAATTACATGATCAGCACAGGCTGTTCCCTGAAGAGTATGATCACATCGGTGCAGTGCTTAGAATGTTTACTTTAGTGCATCGGGTTATCAGATCCTAAAAATAAGGTGTGCGGCAGCGGCGATTGCGAAGCAGATACGCGCTAGAGATGCACTTTTACAGACCAGTACTGTTGTGTTGGCATTTCAGTTAATACAAACTCAGGAATCTGCCCATGCTGCATCATTGGTAGAATAGCTATCACAAATGTGTTAAAAAAATGTGTTTGTAGTTGTGTAAAATAACCATAGACTGTAAAATATATGGACGTAGTGTCCGTGACGTCACCCATAGGTTTCTAAAGAGCGCAAAAGAAGCCACAGGTAGGCGTGGCCAACCGTCGCCATTTTGTTTGCGCGTCATCACACCCACGGCGGGATACCAAACAAGGGCAAAGAGGCGGAGAGTGAGCGGAGCTACAGACACCTGCTGACAGTTTGCATGGACCTGGTTCAGACACACTTTACTTTGGGAAAACGCTTAATACTTTATCACCTGTGACTCGTTTGTATTCTGACCACTTGTGCTTAATTGTACACTATATCAATAAAGTGTTTAGACTTTTAAAAACACTGCTGTAACACATTGAGCCACTAAACATTGTTCTTATGACGTTTTTCAACAGGAGGAAAACGCGAATTACTTCCAAACACTTCAGATATAGTCCGTGTTAGTTAATGTAAGACTATTGATGAAATCCAGCATAACACTGTATGACAACACTTCAGATGACTGTTCTAGAGCCTACAGCTAATCAATCCGACAGATTCTGGAGTGCATTATAGCTCTAAATATAAATATAAACGATAAATGATCTTAAATAAAACGAATACATGTATAGAGATGGTATATAAGTATGTAACTTTACTCACATGGGAAACGGAGGCCACGTGAATAGTTTGTGAGCACAATTAAGTGCACTCAGCATGACATTCCATCAAATAAGTGTAGGAAACAAGTCCAAAAGGCAGTTGACTGTGTAAAGCCACATAAAACAACACAGAAATACGATAAATACACCGAGTTCAGTGGCTAATCTGCAGGATTCAGCTGAGGTGACGTGACGGCGACCAACGAGACCTAGCTGTCACTCAAGTGGCCACGCCCTTAATTATGCAAACTTAATATAACTTAATATAAAGGAAACGGATGAGTTCTAAAAAAAATTCACCCCCCTCACAGTTGTCATGAAGGGTAATATTAGCTGTATTAACCAAAATCTTTTTTTGTACCAGGCTGTAAACACCTTTTTTTTCTGCTGTAAAGTTGGCCATTCTAACAGTGGGCTCAATTAAAATTTGCTCTGTTTTGGAGCCAGGAGCGGCCAGGACTAGCGGAATTTCGGATGAATTGCAGTTTTAGTTACTTCCGTATTGGCTTCCTGAGAGAGCGGGAGGTTGCCGCTTGAAAATAACGCATGTTTTCGATATGTTACTTGTTTTGTAAAGTTTGTTTTGTTAACTAAAAGTGGCTAATGGTTCATTTGTTACCTCAGATTTAGGCTAATTAATCTTGATGTGAATCAAATGTCGCGGGACAGAAATAGACTCAAGCAACATGCTTGAAGCTTGGAGCTATAAAATAATTAAAGTTAGTCTCTGTGTGCGGTAAACACAAACTCCAATAATTAATCTGCCTCGTCATTATGGTGGTACTTGGAGAGACAATTTTTTCTGAGGTGGCACTTGATGAAAAAAGTTTGAGAACCACTGATCTAAACTATAAACTGTTATCCCTGTACTTGTGTGTTATTTGACTATAAGTTCATAACTAACTCTTAAGATTAAAGACTTTTAAGATTAATAAACATATGCAAATCACCATTATTTATAACTGTTGCGTGGGTGTTGAGATCCAGATCTTTTATTGATCAATTGTGCAGCTTACACTGAATGCATTAATACAGTTGTTGTAAAAAAATAAATGAATGAGTGAAAAAAGAGAAGAACCCAGTCCAGGAGACTCGAAACAAGCAGAATTCCTTTATTGAGACGTGTTGGTTAATCTGCAGTCATACAGCGTCTTTAAGATGTGTCTGCAAGAGCCTACTAGAGGTCCGCAGTCTGCAAATTCTTTCACAAGTCTCTCACAAGTCTAAATTAAGACAAAGATTTCATGTCTATATTGTGTTCTTAGGAGGAGGGGATTTGGCTAAACAAAGCATGCAAATTAAGCGTTGTGGTCGGCAGGGTAAACTGCTCTTTCAGGCATTGATCTCATCATGTTCTGGAGACAGAAACCGCCTGACCATTTGATCGAAAAGAGAAAACAATAGACACCCCATGCTGTGAAACTGATAATTGCATCACTTTGGCTTAGCCTGTTGTCAGCAAGGCAAAGGTTAAATGACCCTCCTAGCTGGCATGTCAATGAAATAAAATAATTAAAAACCAGAGAATATAACTTTTTAGTTATACGTAGATTATTGTTAATTTGAAATTAGATAATAAAAATTTATATTTCCACACAGGCTAAACAAGTAGTGACAGAAAACACCTTTAATAACCTTAAAAAATAACACATCCAATAACCTAATAACATTTATAGGATGCATTTATACATGTGATTTGAATGACGCGAGATGTGATCTCTCTGGGATTGTTACAAATTTAGGATTAATGTACAAGTAGAAAAAAATTATTTATCCACAGCTCTCATGTGTTCCAAACCATTGGTTGTGATCCGTACGAATCACAGATCAACTGAAATCTTTTACACCCCTAATTTATAATGTACTTAATTATTGTTTATGATTCATTTTTAAGTACTAAAGTATTGCATTATTTACAAAGCAGTAATTTAAAAGTAGTTTGTGCTTATTAAGATCATTCAAAATGAGTCAGTAAATGATTGATAAACGATTGGCTGATTGATAAGGGACTACGCTGAAAAGAAAATGAATGAATGAATAGCAATACTAACTCTGTATGTTAATAAACCCTTTATTGACACAAACTCCCCCAACTTTGTGAGCTCATCTAAAGTGAGGACTATTTACTGTATGATTTATAAATTCCTTATAAATGACACGTAAAGGCTCAGTTATATTTTAAACAGCAAACATAAACAACTGATTCAGAACAAAATAAATATCAGTAACATTTTAGTATAAGTAACAATTCACACCATTTCCCTCTGGCTTATTTACTTGGCTATTATATTAACATTTTATTAGAAATTATAAAGCATGATCTTTTTCTACATTCATAATCCTACCAATACCTAAATCCAACTACTACCTTATTAAATATAAATTAGCAGCTAGTTTGTAGTTTAATGAGCTAAAAGTCTTAGTTATTTGTTTTTTGATAGTGTGAAGTGCACATTAAAATAAAGTTATGTAAAGTAATGAATAAATCCTTGCAATCACATCTAAAAAAAACAAAAACAATTATTTTACAGTTTGCTAAATGTTTAAACGATTATATAAAAAATAGCTAAATATTTGTAATGGAAATAAATTAATAACAAATTATGCAAATACAATTATTTTGCACATTATAAGTGTGCTCCTTAGCCAAGAATACAGCATTTGTAGTTGTATTTATAAACTACATACTAATGTATATCAATGTAGAGTTAAAGCTTATAAAATCATAAACAAACCATCTGCAAATGCGTAATAAATTATTTATAGTGTGCAGTTATTATAGTGTTACCATATCATCTGCTCTGTTTTAATGATCATTTCCGATGTCTGACCAGACACAACTAGACCAAAGCGAGACTACGAGGTCGATGGCAGAGACTACCATTTTGTGAATTCACGGGAGCAGATGGAAAAAGACATTCAGGATCACAAGTTCATCGAGGCCGGACAGTACAACAACCACCTGTACGGGACGAGTGTGCAGTCTGTGCGAGAGGTTGCAGAAAAGGTGAGCCAGTTCAGCTTGTTCGGAAGTAATAAAGGAATTTATGAGTGCAATAAAAAAAGTTTTTTTTATTTTTGCGAGTTGCGTGACCTTTAGATTTGACACCGTTCATGCATCATGTTTTCCCATGTCAATCTTGATTTCATTTTTCTTCTTTTTTAAGGGCAAGCACTGCATTCTGGACGTCTCCGGCAATGCCATTAAACGGCTTCAGTTGGCACAGCTTTACCCCATAGCTGTGTTCATCAAACCAAAATCAGTGGAGAATATTTTGTATGTTATTTTAGGTATCAATCTCACTGTTTAATCTTGATTATGTTTGATTTGATTAGTGACGAGTCTTCTATGTGTTTCTCAGAGAGATGAATAAGAGGTTGATGGAGGAGCAGGGAAGGAAGACTTATGACAGAGCTATGAAACTGGAGCAGGAGTTCCTTGAGCACTTCACCGGTAAGGACAGCTGTGACCTTTCTGATTAGTCATTGTCACCTACGGTTATTTTACTTTAGTTTCCTGCGGAAAAAAAAACAAAAAAAAACATCTACATTTAAACAGTTTTTTTTGGGGCACACATGCACTATTCACTCCAAAATATAAAATTCTGTCATTTACTCTTCCTTATGCCAAACCACTTTGCTTTATGGCAAACAAAAGATTTTTGAAAATTGCCCTTGCAATGGACCTTAATAGGCATAAAAACAATACCGGATGATAAAACATGTTCACTGCACAGTGGTTAGCACTTTCACCTCACAGCAAGAACTGGTTCGAGTCCCTCTGCAAGCTTTCCTGTGTTTACATGGCTTTCTTCTGGGTGCTCTGGTTTCCCTCACAGTCCAAAGACATGCGTTATAGGTGAATTGGATGAACCAAATTAGTGTGTGTGAATGAGAGAGCCTATGGGTGGTTACTTGGGGTTCAGGACTTAGTGGTCTCTCAGCGCTGGCTTGTGGCTGAAAAGAGATCCACTGGTAAAACATGTGCCAGAATAAATGGCAGTTCATTCTGCTGTGGCGACTAAGCTTAAGGAAAGTGAAAGATTAAAACCTCTGAGATCTTTGAAAATATGTTTATAAACTAATTATGTACACACTCACCGGCCACTTTTTGAAGTACACCTTACTAGTACCGGGTTGGACCCCCTTTGCCTTGAGATCAGCCTCAATACTTCATGGTGGAGATTTAACAATGTAGTGGAAATATTCCTCAGATTTTGGTCCTTATTGACATGATAGCATCATGCAGTTGCTGCAGATTTGTCGGTTGCACATCCATGATGCGAATCTCTCGTTCCACCACATCCCAAACGTGCTCTATTGTATTGAGATCTGGTGAATGTGGAGGCCATTTGAGTACAGTGAACTCATTGTCATGTTCAAGAAACCAGTCTGGAATGATTTGCGCTTTATGACATGCTGCGTTATCCTGCTGAAAGTAACATATCCCCCACACATTACCCCACCAGCAGCAGTCTGAACCGTTAATACAAGGCAGGATGGATTCATGCTTTCATGTTTTGGTGCCAAAGTCTGACCCTACCATCTGAATGTCACAGCAGACACATCAGACCAGGCAACGTTTTTCCAAGTTTCTTTTGTCCAATTTTGGTGAGCCTGTGTGAATTGTAGCCTCAGTTTCCTTTTCTTATCTGACAGTAGTGGCACCCGGTGTGGTCTTCTGTTGCTGCAGTTCATCCACCTCAAGGATCGACGTGTTGTGCATTAAGAGATGCTCTTCTGCATACATCGTTTGTAACAGGTGTTTATTTGAGTTGCTGTTGCCTTTCTATCAGCTGGAACCAATTTGACCATTCTCCTCTGACCTCTGGCATCAACAAGGCATTTGCGCCCACAGAACTTCCGCTCACTGCATATTTTCTCTTTTTCGCACCATTCTCTGTTACCCCTAGAGATAGTTGTGCATGAAAATCCCAGTAGATCAGCAGTTTCTGAAATACTCAGACCAGCCCTTCTGGCACCAACTATGCCTCGTTCAAAGTCATTTAAATCACCTTTCTTCCCCATTCTGATGCTCAGTTTGAATTGCAGCAGATCGTCTTGACAATGTCAACATGCCTAAATGCATTGAGTTGCTGCCATATGATTGGCTCATTAGAAATTTGCACTAACAAGCAGTTGGACGGGTGTACCTAATAAAGTGGCAAGTGAGTGTACACAGAATTTATTAGTCAAAAATTAGCTATGCTGCACCACATTGCCCAGCAGTGTTCAGCCTACTGGTTTCACTCTTCCTCACATAGTAGTCACTGCTTATAAAAAGTAGCTTTCAGACTGGATGCAGAAAGCTCTGTGCTATGAAACCCATTCTTTTCAGTGTTTGTTGCTGCACTGACCAAAGCACTAGAGCAGTGATCTAGTTCAGTTTAGTTTTATTAAATATGTTCACTCAACAATCTAAGAGCTGTCAATAATAACCAAGGCAACAAGCAGTTGAATGGTTCATTCAAAAAGAAAATGACCCCGTAGTTCTTCACCCTTAACAAAGTGTATATCACTATCTTCTTTCAGGAGAACACAGAGTATATTTTACATTTTATTCTGGCTTTTTGTTGCTGTATAATGGTGTTGAGTTACTAGCCCTTTTTTGAAGCTTTTAAAAGTGTATCAATCCATGGTAAGTCTTGTTTTCCACTTCCAGTCAGTTACTGGCATTTTGTTATTCTTGTTTGTTTACTCTAATCAGAGCTTTCGCTATGAATGCGTCATTCATCAAGTAAAAGATCAGACAAGAAGTTGTCGAGAACACATTCAGCAGCCAATGTCAGTCAGTGATTGAGATTATAATTTCAATATTTGAAATACTCTTGTTAGAAAAACATCAATCTGCTTCATAAGACTTGGCAGTATTTGGGCTAGTTTTACAATGGATTTATGTGCTTTTTGAAGCTTCAAAAATGAGCCTCCGTTCAACACATTTATTAAAAACTGCTCAAACTGTGTTTGTCTAAAAGAAGAAAGTCATATACACTGATAATGTTTCAAGAGTTCACACTTAGCCGATAATTGTTTATAAAGCTTGTTTGGCATGCTGCACCGGGAGAGAGTCCTGAGCTCATAAGATCCTCGAGCTCGGGGCTCCCTCTCTCCCGTTTGCAACGCAAGAGGGGAGATAGAGCTCAGGTAGATCTCAAGAACTCCCCTGATGTAGTAGCTAATGAACAGATAGGGATTGCTCTTAAGAGATAACTATTTGCTAGGAGCATGTCTATGGTGCCGATTTGGATTAGTCAATTAACTTAAGTTGCATGTTTTTTTGATGGTGGGGGGAAACCGGAGAACCTGGGGGAAACCCACGTGAGCATGGGGAGAACTTGTAAACTCTGCACAGAAACATCGGCTGGCTTGGTAAGGACTAGAACCAGTAACGTTCTTGCTATGAGGCAACAGTGCCAACCACTGGGCCACTGTGCCACCCATCTAGGAAAGGAGGAGAAGTAGGGGTGGAAGGAGGGATTCTTCAGAACGAAGATGGCTGTCATATAGAACTTGCGGTACAGACCATTTAGAAATCATCTGATTGGTGAATCATAAGTTGAATAATGCGGGGCCGGCTGCAAGCAATCACAAGCATGTGATCCTCCCGAAATTAGTTTATAAATAAACTTCACTTTAGGGGTAAGTTAAAGGGTAATTTTTATTTTTTTGGGTGAACTATTCCTATAATGTATCAGCTGCGTAAAACATATGCTGGATAAATTGGTGGTTCTTTCCGCTGAGGCAAGCCCAGATTAATAGAGGGACTATGCCGAAAAGAAAATGAATTAGTGAATCCCTATAATGCAGGGGTTATCAAACTTTTCAGTCTGTGACCCCCTAAATAATAATGCCAGTGACTCACGACCCCCAATATTGAGATGGTTATATATCTATAAACCTTGCACACAATGGCACACATAAGTTCATCGTTTAATGAGACCATCCTCCATGTTCAGTTCTGGCCTGTATTTAATATAAATGTATGTGAGTGCCGTAAAGGTGTCTGAAAGTTTAAACTGGTGCTATAAAGTGTGCTACATCTGACGCTATTGCTGTGTCTCTATTTTAATAGTTTAATAAAATGAATTAAGTTTTTGGAAATCACCTAACTTAATTGATTAGTTTAGCAGTTTTAGTGATTATAACACACTGTAAAAATGCTGGGTTCCACACAATTCCTTCATGTTGTCCCAACACAAATCTACTAAGTTAACTTAATTGTTTTTACAAATTTAAGTGGATTGAACATAAAATATAAAACATTTGAAGGATTATGTTGATTCAGCTCGTTTTAAAAAAATAGTTTGAACAAGTAGCAAAAATCATTTTTTTGAGACCAAGAGCAAACATGCTTGTTTGAGTAGCCAGGTTATCACATGACTTTAGTGATACTCATCAATGCTTGTTTTTTTTTATCTTGCCCCTCAGCCATTGTTCAAGGGGACACATTGGAGGAGATCTACAACCAGGTGAAGCAGATCATCGAGGAGCAGTCTGGACCCTTCATCTGGGTTCCCGTCAAAGAGAAATTGTGAGGGGGCCGAAGACAAATAAACCTTACACTTCTTTTAACTTTTTGTATTTTTTTTTTAATCTTTCTGTTTCCTTTTTTTAATATTAACATGGCCTGCAGCTTGCATTGGCTTTCCAACTCCTGAGCATAAGAAATGCGTTTTCTTTGAATGGGTTTGGGGTTTTTCCTCTTTCTCTCATGCCTCTCTTTGAAACTACTGTCTAGAACTCGCATCCCAATCTCCGCATGTGGTCCTCCACTGGGAGGAGACGTGCTTGACCAGCGACTTACTGGACAGATTATACGGTACAGATTCCTTAATGTTTAAGGGAGGTGACTTTCTCGAAGGAAAACCAATAAGTTAATGCATTATACACATTTTGGTTTGTTCTTCATTTTTTACCCCCCCAGTATATGATCAGAAGCTTTCATGTCTGTCTCTGGAAAGACATAAAGCAAAACTTTGCACGTTTTTTTGCATGTTTGGATTATTCTGTTTCAGTTAACATATTGTTCTTACGTTTTTATGTCAGACAGATTTAAACCATGTGACTTTCAGCCACCATATGACTTTAGTTTTCTTCTAAAATCAAGCAACCCGTTCACTTTATGCAGCTGATCTGTTTTTGTCGCCAGTACACAAAGAGGATGATAAAAAATTTAATATTTGGCACAAAAGTTCTTCTTTTTATATTAAATGTCTATTTGTCTTAACGATCTGTGTACATTTTAATTAAGGTGCATCTGGGAGTAGCTTTTAGCAGAGGAACGGCTTATGATTATATTTCAAATCCAGGTGACGACATATTCTTACTTCAAAAAACAGCAATGCAAATAAGAGAGTATAAATTGTAATGTATATTCAACCCTCAGTATACTGCCTATTTTGTTATAATGAAAGTCTATATTGAGCTTTAATTGAACTCTACACCTATGGGAATTATTTTCTTTATAATGTCAAGCATACACTCGAATGACTATGCGTGTATGTATATAAAATAAATATAAATAGATATATATATTTTTTTCCTTTACTTTTACCACCATCACTTTTGTTGTTTCTGGTTTGTCTTTATGCAAAAACACTGACACACACACGCACACTAGGCTGGATGGTGGATTTCCATTTGCATCTGCTCCAACAATATGAAAACAAAACTCAAGTTGGCAGTTTGTAGTATTCAGCTCTCTCTTTGTCTCTCTCTCCTGTGTAATTCTGTCATATTTTCTTTCTCATGTGACGTGCATGATTTCTTAAAGCAATAGTCTTCATCAGCAAGGAGCGGAGGAGAGGGATTTGGCATGAACTGTAAACCTGAAAGGCTGTATGGGAATTGTTGAATGCCCGTAGCTGAAGAGAGATTTGCTTTGCCTTTAACTGTCCACCAGGGGGTGCTGACGGCATCCCCGCTATTTTTTTTTCTTTCGTTTTTTAACTCGGAGATGATTGTTTTCTAAAAGATTGCTTCTCTAACTTGTCATCATGGCTTTCTAACACATTTTGACTAGATAATGTACATAATCTGCCAACTTGATTCATTCCATTTGTCAAAGAGGAGAACAGCTAATAAAAACTTTTTTTCTCATATGCTGTGTTTTTTGAATGCTTTTGTGTGTAGGCTATATATAAAATGTATATATAAGATGTGTGTGTATGTGTATATTATCACTGGTGGGAGGCTTGCGTTGCAGCCTCGTACCTTAGTTCAATTCAGCTTTATTTGTATAGCGCTTTTACAATGTAGATTGTGTCAAAGCAGCTTCACATAAATGGTCATAGTAACTGGAACAGTGTGGTTCAGGTTTTAGTGTTTAAGTTCAGTTCAGTTCAGTTTAGCTCAGTTCAGTGTGATTTAATCATTACTGAGAGTTCAAACACTGAAGAGCAAATTCATCGATGCGCAGCTCTACCAATCCTGAACCATGCGAGGCAGTGGCGACAGCGGAGAGGGAAAAAAAAACTTCACCTGATGGAAGTGAAGAAAAAAAAAACCTCGAGAGAACCAGACTCAGTTGGGCACGACCATTTTAATTTCTCCGCTGGCCAAAAGTCTTGTGCAGAACCTTAGTGTCCCAACAGTGTCTATATACAGCCATACTGCACTGCTACTCGTGTGATATTGTGTTTATAATACAGTTTGACGGCATAATCACCTATATAAACAAGAAAATCAAACACTGAGAGTCTAAAACTACTTTTGTATGAGGAACTACTTTTTTCCGCCATTTATTCACATCTGCAACTGACGTCAGAACAGCTGAAACTGTTGCTACTTCACAAACGTCATTTTAGAGCTAGTATTTGAATGATTCTCTAGCGTAATGTCTAAAGTGATGACAAAATATTTTGCTCACATTTTAAGATTATAAGGCTTACAAAAAACATCAGCAAATAAAGAAACGATCTTCAACAACTTGACAACACGTGTTGCAAATTCTTACAACACAAACAACTGAAGAAACGCGCTGCAATTAGTCACTTGCAAATATCAACACAACTTTACTGTTTTAAGGGGACCCAAAACAATAGGTTACTGTTCATAACCCCGGTTCTCTAAAACATCGAGTGGAGAGATCCACCTATGGGAAGGCATCCGTGCCTGACCTCTGCAGAAGCATCCAATTGCACCAAGTCTGGCTTGACAGACAGAAGCACGTGCCCAATGGCAGGTAAAGAACCGCCTTTTACCTGTGTGCATAAATCATTCTGCACGCGCTGCTATTCCTCAGTGAGCATATTCGCTTCTCGTGCAGCAAGCGGGGCAAACTTGGTGGATCTGTCCACTCGATGTTTCAGAGAACTTTTCATCATCTTTCATCATCTCGTGTTCGAGATCCACCTATGGGAGATATGGACAGCTCCCCGGTTGCCCAATACACTCACAGCGAGGCCCAGCAAGCCAGCGTCACAAAGCATGTGGTAACATGCGTTTGAGGACACCTGAAAACACAATATGCTGGAGCATATACAGTATAATATATATGTATACAATATATGTATTTGTTTGTATATATAAAAAGTATATAATTTGTGTCAGGTGAGGGTATGATAACACTTAGGGACAAAATTAAGCTAAGTTAGACCAACTAGGCTCAAAAAGTTGTTAAAGGCATGCGGCACAGGGCTACGAAGAGCCCACACCTGAGACAGAATGAGCTACCGGAGTCTGAGTAACATCAAGACGGTAGTATCTGACAAATGTATGTGGAGAGGCCTAGCTTGCAGCGGCACAAATGTCCTGCAAGGAAACCCCTCTAAATAGAGCCCAAGAAGCAGCCATGCCTCTAGTGGAATGTGCTCTGAGGCCCCCTGGAGGCTGCACTTACTTAGATTCATATGCCAGAGAGATGGCTTCCACAAGCCAATGAGAGAGGCCTTGTTTAGAAATGGGATTCCCCCAGTTTGGGGGGGCCCAAGAAATGAAGAGTTGGTCACTTCTTCTAAAAGAGCTGGTCCTGTTGATATAGGCCCGCAGAGCTCGAACAGGACATAAAGCATTAAGCCTCTGATCCTCAGTGGAGGAGAATGGAGGAGGGTGAAAAGCGGAAAGCTCTACCCCCTCACAAGAAAAATTAGGGAAGCATTTTGGCATAAAGGCCGGGTTACGCCTGAGAGAAACCTTTTCTCAACTGAGGGAGAATTAAATGCACGAGAGCAGAACAGAGAGTGCATGTAGATCACTGACACGTTTAGCTGAAGCCAAGGCCAGCAGCAAAGCTGTCTTGAAAGACAGATGCTTCAGAGAAATAGCCTCTAGGGTCTCAAAAGGATGGTGAGTCAAAGCATCCAGCACCATGGAAAGGTCCCACTCAGGAACAACTCTTCTAGTGACTGGAAGGGAAGGACGGGCACCCTTCATAAATCTACCAATAAGAGGGTGTTGCCCAGCCGTGCTGCCATCAAACCTTACATGACATGCAGTGATGGCTGCTAGATAGACCTTGATTGTAGAAAAGGATTTTCCACAGTCCATAAGGCCTTGCAGAAAGCCTAAAATGTCAGTGACTGAGTACTGATATGAAATCAGTCTGCGCTCCTCACACCATTCCTCAAACACGCACCACTTGTAGTCATAAAGGGACCGTGTGGAGGAGGCTTTAGCGTTCTGAATAGTTGCAATAACACGTGGAGAAAGCCCCAGTGTATTTAGGTTTGCCCTTTCACGGGCCAAGCCCAGAGAGCCACCCTGTCTGGAAGAGGATGGTAGATTTCCCCATTTGCTTGGGACAGGAGGTCCGTACGTAATGGGAGGGGCCATTGCTGTGCATGCAGAAGAGGAATTATCTCTGCCAGCCATGGAGCCCTGGGCCACCTCGGTGCTATCAGGATCAGTCTCAAGCCTTGTTCCTTCACCCTGACTAGTGTTGGGGTTATTAGGCAAAGAGGACGGAACGCATAGAGCAGCACATTGGGCCATGGATGAGCCAGTGCGTCCACGCCGAGGGGGGCATCCTCGTCCTGTAGCGAGAAGAACATAGGACAATGGGCGTTTTCGCGCGAGGCGAAGAGATCGACGTCTGCCTGGCCGAAACTCTTCCAAAGCAGGCCCACTATTTGAGGATGGAGACGCCACTCCCCGTAGAGTGGGTTCCCCCTTAACAAAAGGTCTGCACCCCTGTTCAGAATGCCTGGGACATGCGTCGCCCGTAACGACAGAAAATGTTGCCTGCTCCATACTAAAAGCTTGTGAGCTAAGGCGTGGAGCTTGGAGGATCGTATCCCCCCTTGGCGGTTGATATGTGCTACAGCTGTAGTGTTGTCGCACCGCACTAGCACATGATGCCCCTGCAGGCGGGGCAGAAAATGTTTTAGAGCTTTCCACACAGTGAGAAGCTCCAAATATTTTATGTGGGCTGATTGAAGTGTGTGAGACCACACGCCGTTCACTATCCTGGCCTCCTGTGTGGCGCCCCACCCTGTCAGCGAGGCATCTGTCGTTACCACTTTGCACATCATGACAGCCCCGAGGGGGCTCCCATGAGCGTAAAACTCTGCATTCCTCCAGTGGCGCAGCGCTGTTGTGCACGAGCGCGAGACTGTGACATAAAGGGAGAGATCGCATAACGGGCTGAGATGAAGAGATAAAACCCACTTCATGAACGCCCTCATTCTCAAAAGGCCTAGTGGCAGGACATGAATAGCCGAGGCCATGAGACCTTGTAGTTTGAGACATGTACGATACTGTACCCTTGCTCCTTCCCTGAATTGTGAGAGACAATTCAGAAGAAAGAGAATGCGCTCTTGCGACAGGCTCGCGCGCATCGTAATTGAATTCAGCTCCAGTCCCAGAAAAGTCACATTTTGGGATGGAGTGAAACTGCTTTTGCTCACATTCAACCTGAAACCGAGTGCTTTGATGTGAGTGAGCACACGGAAAGTATTTTGAATTACTTTCTCTCGCGAATCGGCTATGATCAGCCAATCGTCTATACATGTCAGGATCTTGAGACCAGCTGTTCTCAGCGGCGCAAGCCCCGCCTCCGCACACAGACAGAACGTCCTCGGGCTTAGTGAGAGCCTGAACAGAAGAACTGTGAACTCGTAGCAAACGCCATGGTAAGCGAAACGGAGAAATTTCATGTGCGGAGGATACTTATGTGGAAGAAAGCATCTTTCAGATCAATTGATGTGAACCAATCGTTCTGATTTACTGAGCGTAAGAGAGAACCGTGTGTTAACATTCTGAAGCTGTATTTCCTCAAATGTTTGTTCAACACTCGGAAATCCAAAATAGGACGAAGAGAGCCGTCTTTCTTTGGAACTAGGAAATAACGAGAGTAAAACCCCTGCCCGATCAGGTGCAGGGGTACCACTCGAACAGCCCCCTTCTGCAGGAGAGAGGAGATTTCGTCTTTCAGAATGTGAGCAGAGCTCTCTTCTGTTTGAAAAGAGAGAACTCCGTTGAAACGCGGGGGTCTTTTGGCAAACTGAAGCCTGTATCCCCTTGTTATTGTGTGAATTACCCATTCGGGTGCTGACACAGACTGCCAGGCTGTTACCTGATTCGCAAGTGACCCCACACACACCGGAGAAGTGCTTACTGCAAATTCGGCCGGTTTGTTCATTTCTGGTGCAATAGCGCCCTCTAGTGGACAAACTAGGGGTGACATGCAGGGGTTCACAGAAATGTGTTCTTTTGGGAACAAATTCATTTGATTCGTTTGTTTTGAGGTGTATTTTGTGTGTTTTGTGTTTGGGAACACATGGGCCGAAGCCTTTATTTGAGTTAGGGGAACAAAGTTTGAACGGTGTGGTGACACTGCTTGAACACTTTTCCTCACAACAGACCCCTTGAACCTGGGGCGAGAACACACAACGTCCACTGAACACATGGGGTGGACGACCTCCTTTTGAGCTATTCTCCATCTTTTGGACAGAAGCTCTGGGGCAGGAAAATAGTCTGTAGGGCTTGTGGCTCGTGAACACCGACTCGGCGCCCCCATTGGCTGAACATCAGGCCGGCCGCTTGCGTTTCGGATCCGAGGGGGTTGGGGCAGGGGGTTTTCCCGCGGCAGTGGGCGTTGTTCTTCCCCAAGGTTTTGCAGAAGGATGTTGCCCTGTCGCGGAGCGGGTCTGGTGCGAGGTTT